TCTAGATACCGAAAAAGCCCCCCTCATCCCTTCATCGAGATCCCCGTTAGCATGAGGACCCCGAAGAAGAGATTTACTTGGTTAGTAAATTTCTGAACAAAACATTCCATTATTACCGTTACTGCAACGTCACACTTAAAGTTAAATTACGGATGAAGCCAAATTACACACGAAGGTTCGGGTGAATGAAATCACACAGTTAGTCGAGTTGAAAAAATCCATGCGTTGGTGTACTTAAAGAAAACAAGAAGTGCGAGAGCAATTATTCTTGCAAAGTCTCACAACAAAACTGTTCAATCGTTATGTTATGATACAAGAAACCTGATGAATATAAGAATCCCACAATTTTACAGAACCAAATCAGAAAAACAGATGCTAATTCCTGCTAATTCGTCACAACAGGAGATGCGAAGGCCTGCTAATTCTTCTGAAAAACATATGTTAAAGCAGACGTCCTTTTCTGCTAATTCTGCCAATCTGCAGGATCATACCTTCGTCATCCACAAACCTGGTTGTCGAAATTCTAAACCTGGTTCCCACTTGGTTATACACGTTCCTCAGGTACCTCTGCCGAGAGGAGAGGGCCAGAGTACTTATTTCACTCGTCGGGGTGAAACACCAAAACCGAAAAAGAAATTCCGTCCAATTTACAACCAGATGCTGCTAAGTAAAATTTTACATGATCAGAATATAAACCCAAAATATTAACACGTGTGCTACAATCAACCTTGTTCCTAGACTGAAAGAAATGTATGCATGGTGGATGTGATTAAAATATATGCTCATGAATTGAATACCCCCAATTAAAGAGGAAGATGAAATAAAATGAAACGAGATTTGGGTGGAAGAGAAAGCTACAAACCCACAAGAGTGACGTATGCAATGTGAGAGAGAGAATCTTTGATGCGGAGTATGTTATCCGTGCGGATTACCCATGCACTTATGATAGCAATTGAATAACCAGTAGAGTTATCAACTAAAAATTGTTTGCTAAATTCGTCCAAAATTAGGTTTAAGCTTTTCTAAATTTGACCTCTATTACAATTATGAATATGAAAATGTATCCATAAGGATAACATACATACTGAATCTTGGACAAAAAGTAGGGTTCCGCTGAACCATACGTAAAAAGGTAAAATGTTGTCAATGAAAAGCGACAAAGTTTATGAGAGCGAAAATGCATAGCTGGTATTATGAAACCAGGGTGTCAAAGGGTATCACCAAACCCCATTGGTATTAACAATGCACCAAACCCTACAAGTCACAGTACTAATTGATTTGGCCATTGCGAACAGCCTAGTTAATTGTGTCAGGAAAAAACAGCACCCTCAACTTAAACAGAATCATATTGATCAACTATGGTTTGGTGAGCCTATCTCGAGAAATCACTGCGAGGTAGCAACCGCTCAACCTATCAGTGGTTTAATTTGATAATTTGGCCAAGTTTCAATTATTAAAAGGCCAGGGAAATTAGCAAAAAAAATTCTTTATAAAGTGAACAGAGACTTATCGATCCAGCGAGTGATCCCCAAAGAAAGTTGTTGTTCACGGACCAGATTTTAGGAGGCACCTTGAGACGAGACACCAAAACTCTCTTTCCGTTGTTCTTTTCACAAAATGTTCACACACAAACTTGAGACGAGAAGAGAAGAAAGATGCATGTATGTTGAGTCTTGCTTACAAGAAAACTAAGCTAAAATTTTGTCACAAGAGAATTTTGGATAGGCTGGGAAACTAAAAGATGTGTATCCCTTTCGAGTGCATCTGTCCCTAATAAATCACTAATGCACTTCCTGTGGATGACAAGTTACAACCTTTTTAAACGGAAAAATTTACTTACGAATTGTGTTTTTACAAAAGAAGTTAAAAACAAGAAATCACCCCTACTATGAAAGCTGGTGAAAAAAAAACGATTGAGAAGGCTAATTTGTGAAGAGGAAAAACAAAAGACGAATGCCAAGGTCCACCATTTGTGTTACCGTTGAAATGAGATATTTAAACGGCCACAAGATTACTAACTTAAAAGCTTGCATTTATTCACTCTTTCACTCAGCGTACAAACTAGACTAACCTAATTTACATGCTAAATCCTAACCTAACTATCCTAGCCTAAAACTAATGTGTGTATCTTCTGGATCTTCCTTCTCTTCTCTGGTCCGGGATCTTCTGGATCCTGATCTGATGTCGGGTTTGGGGTTTTATACATAAGAGTTGGCACCCAAAGCCAACTCTGATTCTAATTTAGGATGTGGATAAATGAAGGGAGATCCTGATTCGGATCCGGCGACACTCCTGGGCCTTGGAGAACATTGCTTGTCAAGAACATGTCAAGAACATTGATTCGGATCCGGCGACAGAAGTGTAACACTTAGATTTTGATGGGACCGTTAAAAAAGTCTTTATCAACTAATTGCAGTGGCCAAATGTGACAATCATTTGCATGAATGCTCACTCTGTCCAGAGTTATGGACATGTCAAGTGACCAAAAATGGCGAACTTTGCACTGTGGAGACAGTACCCTCTCGCTCGCTTTTCTCCTCACTCTCATTCATTCCATTTTATCCGCTTCTCTCTCTCACACCCACTTTTCATTTCAGATTATTATTTTGAACCACTTTTAAATTGTTTCTCTTACAAATAAAATCAGGAGGTAGGTTTACAACTAATTGTTGGTAGCAGGGCCGTAGAAGCACTGGATTTAGGTAGGGCCGTACCGGCCTGGTCATATTGTTACTAGATATAATTGAACTGTCTAACATACGAGGGGAGACCAATAAACACAAAAAAGAGCTGTTACATTGCCTAAATTTCCTCTTATTTTCAAAGTTCAAACTTAGGAAGGCCAATTTTTTATAGCTCCCCGATTAGCATATTCAGAGAAATAAATTCCCAAGGTCAAGCTTGAAAATACTAAAAATTTGCAGTTTCAATCCCTTTGTTGCTCAAAAATCTGAATATTCTAATGAGTCAATGTTTGAACAAATGACTGAATATTTGAATTAGTGAATGTTCGAATAAATTAATGAATATTCGAATCATTGAAGGTTTGACTAAATGAATGAGTATTTGAATAAGTATTTGAATGAGCGAATATTTGAATGAATGAATGAGTGATGAATATTTAAATAAATAATTTCTCGTTGCACACGTGTGCAGCAAATTCGGCTCGTTAGGGAATTAAACTAATTTTAACATGGTTTGATAACCAATCGGCTAAATAACCATTGCTTGCAGTGTTAACCGACGACCAAACTTACAGCGGGTGTGGTTATTGAATTACAAAAATGTTCCTAAAATCGCCCGATTGGAGGAAGTGGATAATGAGAATACTATATATGTATTTAATAGAGTAGGGCAGAATGGCTATCTCCGCGGCACTCGCTTACAAAGCGAGACTCTACATGCCATGTCTGACAGCTGGTGCCGAATGGACTGGGGTTCAAATCCCAGCGGAGTTTGTTTTCCTGAAAAGGTTTTCCCACCTCCCCCAGTCGTGAGGGCATACCCCCTCCCCTGTTGCGGGCGGCCCAGTCGAGATTTCCTGTGCCCCCATAGTTAAGGAACATGTAGCGATTAAGCCTGAGGGCTTCGCAGAAATATGGGAATAATAATAATAAAAATATATGTATTTAATAAAGTACTTGGAAATTGAAAAAAAATCTTTGTAAATTACACAACATCAGAGTAATTTATTAAAATATTGGTTTTGCCATGGAACATATAATATGGACTTGTAAATAAGTGAACATTGCATTGTTGTTCATCATGCATCTTTTTATTAAGCTTTTGTACACTTTTCGATACGTTTTTCCTAATTAATACAATTTATAGATTTTAATAAAATACGTTATCACAACAAATTGCTTCTTATACTAGTACTTGAATTTAATAAAATCATATTTATAAAGTGTACAAGATTCCTTGCGAATTTGACTACAGATTACAAAAATAAGTAATTTGTATTAAACCAACAATTAAATTTTACTAGTTTTACGTATGCAAGGATTCAAGTGTAAACATAATTAAATAAAGTGCGGCAAAGCACGATACATAAGTAGCGCAATAATGCTGAGAATGCTGAGAACTAATTTGCGCTATAAAGCTCAAATTAATTAATTAATTAATTAAAGTAATTAATTAATTAATTGATTGACGGATTGATTAATTAATTGATTAATAATTAATTAATTAATTAATTAATTGACTGATTGATTAATTAATTGATTAATGATTGATTGATTAATTAATTGACCACATGCTCTATACTGCGACATGTCGACAACACAGAAAAACATGTTTTGCCTAAATTTCATGCATATTGACCGCAGAATGCCGAAATTAGGGCATGGCGACAAAATTTGTCGTCGAAACCTTAGTCGCCATATTGCGACATGTCGACAGCACCGAAAAACATGTTTTCCCCAAATTTCATGCATATCGACCGCAGAATGCCGAAATTAGGGCATGGCGACAAAATTTGTCGCCGAAACCTTAGTCGCCATATTGCGACATGTCAACAACACCGAAAAACATGTTTTCCCCAAATTTCATGCAAATCGCCCACAAAATGCAGAAATTAGGGCTTGGCGACGTTTGTCGACATGATGTCGACAAAGTGGCCACACCCCCTTAATAGGGTGTCACTCCACCCCCGTGAAGAACATGTGTTAAAAATTTCAGGTCGCTGCGACAAACCGTTCTCGAGTTATAGTGTTGACGGACGGACGGACGGACGGACAGACAGACAGACTAACTAACCGATCGCATAAAGTAGCTTGCGCTACTTAATAAAAGTAATGAAAATTCACATACATATATAAACACCCAAATTCATCGTGAACTACAAATGTAAAATAATGTCTCTCTCTCTCTCTCTCCGCTGCTGGTACGATACATGTGGGGAATACTTAACAATATTTGTCCAGTCACTTTCTGTCAGTCTTATTTATTTTGAAACGTATAATTGAAAAATGCAGAAGCAAGTGGAAACATTCAAATTAGATTGTAAATTGTATGCTTTATTTTTCAATATTTGCAAAGTAATGTTGGAAGTATTCCCTACATAGAACCCTCAGTGTTCATCCTTCTTTTCATTATTTCGTAACAGACCGAAATAATTTTTAGTTTTTCCAATCAAATTACTCCAATCAAACGAGTCAATACTATTTTTCACACTTCGCATTGACGGGGCCACGTATTGCGAATATTTAGTTTCTGCAAAACAATTACAATTTTGATAAATTTGTCAAGATTTCTCAGAAATAAATTTTACTTCCCTACCCAGAAAAGATGCGATATGGACAGGTTCTTCTTCTTTTTCATGTTCCACCGACAGCGGCATGTACGACAATTGTATAACTGCGGTACATTTATTTTAATTTAAAGTACCAATTTAATTTGGGCGTTGGGCACAATCCATAAATTATGTGGCGGAAAAACGTGGGTTTTTAAACCCTCAAAGCAAGAGTCTTAACATATGCCGGAAATTGATTTGTAGCGCTATCCCCGAGACACCCTCCTTCGTTACATAATTTATGGATAGTGTCAAATTTGAATAACTGCACTTACTTCGCCTCACTACTTCAGAAATCAACTGGTCAATAATATTTTGAAAAATTCTCTTATCATGTACCGAAAGGTAGGGTTGGAAGTGGATGATTTTGTTGAGATGATGCCACAATCCGTCTTCCGTGGTTGGCATGGTGTGGAAGAGGTCGCGAAGTTCTTGCAACGCTGGACCTAAATGATGGAAATGATAAATTAATAATTAAGTTTTTTTAAATACAAAGTGGGCAATAATTAATTTATAAATACAATTTCCCTATTTTATGGATTAATTGATCGGGACCACTCTGAACATATATTTTTAACGATATCTTCTTACCCAGGTTGTTTGCAACGTTGTCGCTATCTTGCCTAATAAAGTCGAAAATTCCGTTGACATCCTCCATGGTTGCGCCGGACGTAGAGGGTAACAAAATGAGTGATAATATTGCTGCAATTACCGTCATAATTAATTTAGTTGATATTTAATTTGTGGAGGTTGACTATCTGGTCGATACTAAGACTGCTTGCTAATGCTTGTGAGAATTTGATGCGTAAACTATGCATGAGGTGGAAAATACGAAATATTCTCAGACACATTTGACCCTTGGGGTGACAGTAGTAGAAAGTATTTAACTTTTGTGGATAGAAGTTGAGTCTATTTTCGATTTGTAGGAAAAAGTGGTGAATCCTTGGAAGGGATACCAAATTGCACCCCCAAGCTGGGTAAGGTACTTGGGATGTGACAAAACAACCAAACAACAACATTACTGGGGCATACATACTTGCAATGTATTTGTTAGAAGAAGGCTTTTCTCTAGGACAAGACCATCTCCACCGTGGCACATTTTCACTTGTGTAGGATGGCTTCTTTTCAAAATTAGATGCATGTCACCACCACTGGAATATGTACGGAGTAAGTGACGACTACTGGTACATATAATTTTCCAAGGTAATTGGTTATATGTAGCTCCGTTTGTTCGTGTTGGGTTGAAAGTTATTTTTAAAAAGGGTCGACTTGAATGCACGCAGTAGGATTATTTCTAATTCTGGCTAACCATACACCATGGAATTTTGTTTATAATAATGTGTTAAATCCTAGACATTATGAAAATTAAGTAAAGCTGCTAGAAATGGTATTATTTTCTACTGCATTTATTGGACTAGATAGCGTCATGCTATGAAAAAAAAGAAAAAAAGAATTTTGAAATTTCAACAAGAATTGACCCCAGGGGAATTTTTTAGTTTTTACGGGTTAACAGCAGGTCGGCCAACTACTTTTCAGGCCCTATTAATCTTTTCTCGACGATAGTCTTTCTCTTGACAAAAGATAACAATGTAGAAATGTAAATACTTTTTTTTCGTCAACATACATATATCAGATCGGATGAGATTCAAACGTTTCTGAAATTGTGTGTTCATTGAAACTTTGTGAATTTGCTCAATAAAATTAAAAATATAATTCAATTTCTACTTTTCATCAGTCCACTTATAACCAATGTATTAGTCAAGATGTCTATCTCATGCATAGACTCATCTATAAATGGTATCATTTCTGGGGTATACGATTAAATATGACAAATAAGGATTTTTTATTTACTCATCAGGAAATAAAAATAATTATATTTTCTCTTTATTCTTTTTGTGGTACCCTAGTGTTAATGTGAACAATATTGTTTAGACTGTACTTTTTGTGGCAATTCCTCCCACGTTCCTTGCAACCATGTTGCACCCACAAAGCGGCATATACCGTGAAGATCTCTTAAGTTTTAAGTAAAATATTTTTTTCTCGACCAAAGCAAATCCGGCCTTGTCGATCTCCTTGTCGAGATCTCTGTCAATGCGGCATCCGCACCCGAAAGGTTTCCACGCCCACTGGGTTCCGCGCTGCCATCGCAACCGCCACGAGCCAGGTTCACCAATGATGTGTTCCATAAAGTAGAATTTGCCGCCCTGAGGGATGATTTTTTAAATAAATATTTTCTAATTTGGTCACAATTTCCACAAAAGGGTAATTTAAAGGGGGGGATGTCGTCTCCGTGTCATCTTATTGGGGCAAGATGAGTGCACTTGAAATACATAGTTTGGTGAAGAATCATTATCCCAATTTACTTGGGATAACAATTTGATATATGATGCTCTATCATGTTGTTTGAAAACAAGGTTTCGGATGGTATAAATCAGTGGCATTAAATGGCTTACATACACTGGTTTAAACCGGTTTAAACCTAGGTTAAAACCAGTTTGTGCCAGGTTAAAACGGTATAAACCAGGCTTAAACTGGTATAAACCACTCGTTAATACCGGGTAATACCACCTGCGTTTTGAAAAAAAGTGGCATAAACGAAACCCTGGTTGAAAATTGTGACAAAATGTGGACATGAATTTCCAAGAGGTTCAAATTTGATACCCTCAGGTGAGGAAATTTATACCGTCTGGTGACAAATTAGAATTTCCAGTTAATTATTGTTACAATTTTTAACCAACATGGCACGTCATCATGGTGACTCGGCACGCTAATAATTTTGCTCGCTTGTTAGTACAACTTACAGGTTTCAACACGTTCAAAACTGTCTCGTAGTATTTTCCCGCGTCTGTGACGGCACAACCGACCATGGTGCCAAGCAGGATGTCAATGCTGTCCGGGGTGACAACATTTCCCAAGTTTTCGACCCCCACGTCAAAATAGGCGAGTAAGTTAATGCCTGGAAATTTTTGCAAGGCGGGGATACAGCATTCCTTAAAGTGGATGTTGGGTTCGACAAGTACGACGTTGCAGGGGGTGGGGTAATACGCAAAATTGGTTCCTGTCAAGTAGAAATTTAAATTGGGCAAGTTCGTGGTGTGGTAAAAGTTTCAAATTTACCGGGTCCGGCCCCAATTTCTAGAATGAGTGGTACCTCTCGGTCGTTACGCAGATTTTGAAATAAGATTAATTTCTCGTCTCGAAGTAATTTCTGGTAACCGGGTTCATAACAGCGGTAAATTCGGGCAAATAGGCTGCGGTAAAATTTGCGAGTTAAAGTATAAATTGAGTTAACAAGTTAAAGTAGCTACCTAGAAATGAAATTGTGGAACGACATGTGAATTTTAGATTGGGTAGAGACACCTATGAAAAAAATAATTTGGTAAATAAGAAAATCGTCACCGCGTGTATGTATGTAGACACTACGATGCTCTATGATGGTCTAGATTTCATCACCACAGAGTAAAAAATACTTCTGCAAAATTTAAATTTATCTCTAACGGGCAAGAAATTGTTGCCAGGCTGGTAGCAAATTTTATTTTCGCAGAATTTACTATTACTCTTTGGTGATAAAATTGTAACCATAGTGGTAGAGGAAAAAAATCATCTTGTGCCCAGGGTCGATTTCAAAATTTTTGTAATATTGGGATTGAAATGCGGAGGATTTTTGCTAATCTTTTTCTAATTATCCACAGAAGTATTACCTAGTGACAGAATATTTGTGTGGAATGCGATAATTCTCTATAAAACTATACGATCCACTTGAAATTTTTGCGCACACGTGGTATGCGGTTAATGAAAAAATTAGTATGGCGTCGAGCTAGGAAAGCTTTCAACTAAATGCACTCGAAGCATTTTACATGCTGAGAATACCTATCTGATTTTCATTAATATTCGTGACCAGTAAGAAATTAGAGACAAGAACTTGTTCTAAACTAGTTTGTGTGATTGTACATAGATTGAGTAACTACTCATCTCCTGCGAATAATCTACTTTACAAATGTATTAGGGAGGTTGTCCCGCTACGTTTTTAGGATTTCATCAGTATCTCTCGTAAATAAATAATTCTCGCGAAGTAAATAAATGTGGTGGACCAATTTTTATCAATTTGCTAAAGCCTCTCGGAACACTGTGCGAATTAGATTGGCTTCTTGGTAGGGATTGCTACTTCACATTCCAATGCATCTAAGGAACCTCAATATTCTTTCGTTACAAATGCTCCTTTTTAATTAGAATACCTGTCTGGTAACAAACTAGTTTCAGTCGTGGTCAAGACACTCGTACTTAGGAGGGGTGCTTCACATTTGTCAGTAAGCGATCGGCTCCAAATTGTTACGCAGTTTAGTACTATGTGGGAGGAGTGTATGTGCGACGCCGTTTGACTCCATGGCCATAAACACCTGAGATATATCAATTTGAAATCGTCATTTTGACTTATTCCACAGCACAGACTTTAATCTTAGCCAGATTTTCGAATTTACATTTTTTTTAAATTCTCTCTTCTGAATTTTGTTAGATATGCTACCCGCTATATTAGGCTTATCTTCTGGTCGGTCACAGGGCCCCTGTTTAGGGGGTGTGGTTAACCACACCCATCTTTTTGACGCCAACATAGTCAATATGGGTATCATTTGAAAAGTATTTTCAATAGGTTTCGGAGGATATATAACATTTTAGCTCTTTGACCTCATCCTGACCTCAGGGGGTGTGGCGGAATTCCAAAACACGGCATAATTCTGCAACTCTATATCAACTCTATAACTAAAATTATCGAGCTTATGTCCTATGTGTTTTCTAAATAAATTACACTAAAAATACCTCTTCATAATAGAACAATGGGTGTGGCAGGTCATTGGGGGTGTAACTCAAATTAGATTAAATTTTTTTTCAAGCTTTTAAATATTTAGGGGAATTTCAACCCTTTATTCATTAAAAAATATTAGATTAAACGAATTTAATTTGGCAGGCAGATAATTATATGTGTAACAGTTCTACTGGTTAAGTAAAACATGCAAATTCAAAAAGTTCAAGATTGAATGTATCATTATCACCCTGGATGACCGCGAAATCGTTTCGAAGTACACAAATGTGGTCCAAATTTTGCTTCGTGTGTGCAAAATTAAGTTTTCACCTAAAATGATGGAACTTAAGGTTTGCATGAAATTTGGTACAGGTATTTACTGGGGAAGCATGGAGAACCGTTCTACGTTTATAATGTCTAAGATTTAAAATATTTTTATGGCCGACAAGGTAACAAACCGATAAATTTAAGTCCTGCTTAAATCATAACACACAATCCAACATTTTTCTAAGTGACATTTGTAAAAAATGTCGTAGCAAGTTCGATTAGAAGCTGTTAAATATAAATTTAATAAACAATGGTAAAAATTTCCTCCCTAATGTTGCTTTAATCACACTTCGTGAACGTAAAATATTTCCGCTACCTAAATAATTTGGGTTATAATAATCATCACTGCAAGGATTCCAGTTCGAGCAAGATTTGAAAATTTGCCAAAATTAAAAACATTGGTAATAGTTAAGTTAGCATTTCCCATTTCCATCTTTACAAAGACAAATAGTTCGATGAGGTGTATTATGAAATAATATAATTTTATAAGAAATTCTAATGATGATTTTAACCTCTTTCCACTTATATATTTTTAAAATAAAATTTCCCTTTCAACTGATAGCAACCAATTAAATTTCCATGATTTTCTACAAAATCCCAATATTTTTTTCAACCAGTTTCCAAGTTTCGAGTTTTTTATGAAAAACACGAAATATCCACATTTTAACATTGGTTGATATAGGGAAAATTCCAAAATTTGTGAAGAAAAACATCTTCATGGAAATTTACTTCCTTAAAAATTTAAATAAATGAATTACACAGAAAAGTATATCACAAAGTAAGTAAATCACGAAAAATCTGACTACACGGGGG